TACTGAAACCCTTCGGAGCCACCGTCGTGAAGGACTCCTGCGTGAAGTGGCTCCTGTAACGCGACCGAAAACCCGGGTTGAAGGAGTCTCTCCTACTAGACCTCCGTCGTTTCCCGTTTTCTTCTATTGTAGCGTTTGTGGTGAATGACAAGCCTTCCAATGGGAGTTTTTGCTAGTGAGTGACCGCAGTGGGTCTGGTTTAACAAACACCGGGTGCCTCCGTGTAACCTGCCTATAGGGTCCTCCGGTAAGTGGTGGCCACATAACACCCGACGGGGAGTACAAACTTGGTCCGGACTGTTGAAGAAGTCCTACTGTTCGTTCTCCACACCGGGTAGGACCTGTAGAGTTTGACACTTCGTTTCTTTTGAAGGACCTCCACGACTTCCTCCATGAGATGACTCGGGTTTGAATCGTCCCCTCTGTCTACTTCCACGACAGATTCGGACGTGTCTCTGGTCGGTACTTTGTCGCCGTTGTACCTGTATCCGGTACAAGGACCTAGCTCCAAACACTACTTCCTTGTTCCCTCCGTCGTGTAGAATACTGTCTCGAATGTCTACAGGTTCTAGGTCATGGTTAAGGTTAGCTACCCATCACAAAAATTGACTGGTCAATACAACGATCATAATTGGTCAAAAAAGAACACGTCAATAATTCAATACACCTTACAACAAAGATCTTCGTTCCAGTGTGTTTTTTTTTTTATTTTTCACTTATTATCTTATATGACGATGTTATCCGTGTCAGATGTAAAAATTTTTGTAATTATGAACCATTGTATCACGACTTTGCATAGTTCTACATAATACTTCCGTAACGAACGAAGGTGTAACAAATGAGGATTTTTGAAATCGAAATCGCACAGCATAGGCCGTCCAAAATCTTTACAACAAACCCCATATTACGAAAAAATTTTAATTAAAGGTGTTTATCCGACATATGAGGCAATGCTAACAGGACAGTTGATTCTGACCCCCTTCCTGATGTAACCGATAAAACAAAAATACGTCACTCGAAAATTTCCGAAACTATTACTGCAACAAGCGACACTAACAAAGGTGCCTAGGATGAACACAGTATAGGTAGACCGTCAAAGACAAATAACGACCGTGTTCGACTAGATCATATGTAAGTCGGTAATACGGAGCAACAAGAAAAAATTACTAGTAGAACACCGTACACTCGCGAATAAACTCTCGAGTCGTCAGCACATCGGCCTTTCGACTGTCTGACTGGCCCCACCTGTTCGGTTTTCTCGACCCGTCATTTCCAGCGCGCCGTTCGGTTTTGACCCTGCGAAAACGAATAAACCAATCTCCCCGCGTACACTCGAATTTACATGTTACCTATTTCTATGTTCCGGTGCCGTAAAACCAAATGTTTTCGTAAAGGGTATGATAGGGTACGATACCATTATTACAATCTTTCGACTGCGATACAACTTTTGGACATTAGTTGTTTAGATCGATTATAACCATGTTCACCAGAGCTCTGGACAAAGTCTTCTAATTCTTTAGACAGGGGCTTGGAGGGTTTGCACTGAAATCCTGACATGTAGACAATGTTTGGCATTGTGGGTCTTGGGAACTCAAAAGTAAAATCGTTCCTCATTAGCCAGATGTCTGCAGCCTGAAAAAGCTCCATGTAATGAACACCATTTCCAAAGTAACGCTGGACAAATGGTTTGTAGTTGGAATCTGTTACATACCAAGTTTGAAAACAAGTAAAGAAAAAGTATGTTAAGTTCTTGACCCGCTGGAGGAAATTCATCTTGTCAGTCAGCTCTGCCCCTGGTATTGGGACATATGAAAATGGGGAAGGTGCAATTGCATGATGTGCCTCACCCTGAACAGTCCACCTCACATTGAGGACAAGTGGAAGACCCAAACGATGACCAATAAGCACCCCTGCACCGATCGCAGGGTCTGTCAGAACTAATTCATACTTGGCATCATTCAGGCTCTGCATCAGTTGGGTATTCTCAAACATCTCTCCTACCATTGCAATCATTTGCTTGTTCATCTGATAGAACTGTTCCACCAGTTCATACTCCAGAGATAAACGCGCCCAAAGTGAAGCACCATCCCGACGCATGGTCAGCATTTTGGTTACAAATATCCCAAAGCCTTCCTCATCAAAGCCAGCAGCAGAATTTATTGTGATGGACTTGTAGTAAGGGGACTCTGTCTTGATGTACCAGCTGTCTGATGGCCGTATAACTGTGATGTCGTGACCTCTGGAGTGAAGCTCTTCGACGAGGACTTTCATGTTGATCCAATGGCTTCCATCCACAGGGATAACCAAGATTTTCCCTGAATTTACCAAGGGTGAAGAGCAGAGCAGCACTGCAAGTGCCGTCAAGATTGGTCGGTACATCTCTGAAAGAAAATCTGACAAGAGATGTGATAATGTTAGATCTTCCAGATTTTAAAAGGCTTTGCATTTCTGAATATCCAACTTATGCTTCAGCTTAACAAATAATTGAACATAAATCTGGTTTCTGAGCTAATTTGCGAACTATGGCTAGTGGTTTATAAGAGGACACGACTTACCATGTTACAGAGGTTCTGAGCCTAATGATGAACTAAAACTGTATATAAGATATTGGTTATAAAGATGTACAATATTTGTTACAAGGTTAAGGATCTTTAAGAGACTGCAAGCAGTGTCGTCATCAAAACTGCTAAGCAAAGTAGGAGTTGTGAGTAATCTAGCTTCCAGACAACAGGCTCAATTGACTTGGTTATTTTAGCTATAATTCAGAGAAACTTAAAAAATAACAAGATAATTACTGTAAATGTGGCCTATGTGTGTGTAAGTTTTTTTTTAACCTCAGTTATTTCCAACTAATTGTTGGGACATTCCAGTTTGCAAAAGGGCACCTTGTTCTTGTGTTTGTTTGACAATTAAAGGCTCTGATTATTTAGTCAAAGGGAAAGGGGCATTCAATTATAAGATTTTGATACAAAACTGGTCAAAGATTACAACATAAATGTCTTGTTGTGTAAAAATATGTTTTCAATTACCTCTGTAAAATGTAGGAAATCGTTTTTAAACAGGAAGTACAAACTTAAGATCTGTCATATAGCACATGTTTTCTTCAAGGCTGTACATCTGATTAGTTACATTTCTATTAGTGGAAAATATCAGAAAGCATCTGAATTCACACGAAAAAACAAGCATAATATAGGGTTGGAAAATAAAGTTATAATCATTTTTATTATATTAACAAAGATATGTGGATGAGTCCATGAATGCACAGATGGCATGTGTTTATCACCATTGTCCACACAGGATCACACGGACCTTCGCAGGCAGGGGCAGCAGCAACCTTGCCCCTCTGCAAATGAATATGCAAATGCTTAACCACTTCTTTCTTTTCAATCATCAATTTCTAATTTTTATTTTGATCGATTAAGCTAAAAGCCAACTGCATTCTAAGTCTTGCCAGCTCAAGTAAACATGATTATTGACACAACGGCAACCTTTTCCAGCTCTGAGGATCAACAACACTAACAGTTAAGATATGGAGTGTGGACTGCTACTTGGAGAGGTCCCAGTTCACCTCCTGAGCCCTGCCGTGGTGCCCTTGAGCAAGGCACCGGACATCCCCCCACCCCCCCACTCCCGATTGCTCCCCGGGCGCTGTACAATAGCTGCCCACTGCTCCTAGTACTAGGATGGGTAAACAGCAGAGAACACATGTCACTGTGTGTGCTGTGTGCATGAACATGTGTGACCATTAAAGAGGGTTTCATCCCTCCAATTCTATCCGTCTATCTAAGAGCACAGTGTGTTTTTTAGTAGTTTCAGAAGTGCAGAAAAAACAAAGCTGAAGCACATCACTACAAGGCTTTCTATGAAGGATTTGCAGCAAACTGAAGCACACTGCTTCAAGTCTTACATAACTTCCTGATTCCTTGATTATACAACACAAGCACAATGTGTGGGAATTCCTGCCGCTTATTCCCAGGAGTTTTACAAAAGCTGTTTTGATGTGGTAAATGTTCTCTCTCTCAGGTTTCAGAGTTTTGCGTGTCAGTAATAATAGGTTTTAAACTAGGAACGGTATATAAAAGCAGCTGCCTTTTGTACTTACAAGGACACATGTCAATCAAGCTTATTGCATTATGTTGCAAAGAAGCACAACTGTTAGGTTTATCTTATTAATTAATTATTTGTTTTCAGTTTCATTTGTCTCAAAGACCATACGTATGTACTACTACTGATAATAATAATAATAATAATAATAATAATAAAATGTAATAAAAACAAATAATAATAATAATAATGGAATATAAATATGGTACATTTGATTATAAAAATTGAAAATTATATGAGTAAAGGCTTACACTTTATGATGTGTGCTTTTTATAGCAACAATACAACTTTTCATTACTATTGAAGAACGGAGAGTTTAGAGCAATTCATTTAAAGGCCCAATACGACTTGTTATAAATAAAAAAGTACGTGATCTGCATAAGGAAAGAAAAGGTCCTGACTCTGACATTACTGCCAACAGGAAACGTGAGACAATTGCAAGAGCTGATAGGCATCTGTTTTAAATACAAGTACTAAGAACACTAAGTTATTTGAATCTGGGTCTCAATGTGCTTTCCCATTGCTTCGACTGTGCTCATCTATAACTATACACTTAGATTTTCTTTCATGGTTTATAAGCTAAACCTTAAAAATACTATAGTGCAAGGTATGTTTTTCAAAGCATTCTAAAAGTGCTGTTCGGCTCCTGTCAATAGAAAACATCTGGAAGTCTTTGTACCTGACCGTAGCATTCATCTGCTAATACTCAGGGTTTAGGTGCATACTCTTTGCACGCACATATACATCACAGTAATACTCACACCATGCTACACACAAATGAAAACATACTGAAATCATTAGCAAAAAGTAATATACCTATTCTAGCCCCAAACACTTACCGAGAGCGTCCCGGTCAACGGAGTTCACGAGCTTGTTTGTGCGTTCTTCTTGCTTCAAAGCAAACGGATGGCCGACTGTTCTCCAGCTCTGTGAGATACTGCAGCTCGGAGGGTGTGGGCACTGAACAGGACTAAAGTTCAGAGTGTGTGGTGTGCTCCTGTAGCAGTTTAGTTACACAAAGAAGAGCTAAATCTACGGCAGTCTCACGTAACAAACTTAGACTTTGACCATAAAAATGTAGTACTGAGATAACTCTGTGGAGAGAAGGTTGATAGTACAGTGGCAAATAAATATGATAAACTCAATCAACCTGTGTTTCCTACACCTTATCCATTCTGTAAACACTGCATTACCTCGAAGTACCTCGATTATGCCTTTCTTTTTGTCTGCAGAATTCATTAGTTATTTTATGATTAAAGGGGCCCTATCATGCTCATTTTCATGTTCCATAATAGTTTTTTGTGCCTCTCCTGGGACTCTGCTGGAAGGACTACAATGGAGGTGTTTCAGGCAGGGGGGGGAGTGTGTGGGAGAGAAACTCCCTCTGGATAGAACTTTGGGATTTTAGCCTTTGCAGACCATTTACACGCACAAAAACCTACACAACATACAGGGAAGGTAAACGCCCCAAAAAAGCATAATAGGGCCTCTTTGAAGAAAATGAAAAACTTAGACGAAGAAATAATAAACATTGAATTGTGTAGATAAAATACAACTAAGAGTCAAGTTGTTTTATTATTTTTGTTTCAAAATAAGTATTGGATAAAAAAATAAGTAACAAAAGAACCTTACAACCGCACAAACCGGTTAAAAAAGAAAACTAAAAATCCCCAAAAATAAAATGCAAATCTGGAAAGAATGAACATACATACATTTCATAGATTAGTTTTAGTCAAGTTATGCAATCTGGGTTATTAGCCTGTAACCAAACAGTGTGGTAACACAACATGAACTACATGACCTTGTTTGTTGACTTTAAACTTTACCCTTGGACTAAATGTGAATTACAATGCAGCTTCATTTAAAGCTGCATTTATTTGTCCATTCTGACACTCTACACTAAAATGATTGTTGTTTGAAGAAAAAGAGCTTTCTATTTCTACATGAAACAAATGCATGAAAACAAAGAGTGGTGCCCCTTGCTTATCAGTGAGGATGATAACGTCAAAGATGATAGTGATGAGCCATGATAGCCTGTAGTGTACACTATCAATGATTCAAAAGTGTAGGCTAAAGCTAACACTGGGAGTTAATTTTGAAGTTAGCCAGCTAAACATTTGATTAAATAGTATTAATAATGTTAAAAAACTTCTCTAACATTCCTTCTAAACTCTCTGTAGAGTAACGACTAGGTTACTGGTGGTGCCTCATTTAAATCACAGCATTGTCTTAATTATTTCCCTCCTGTAACTTATTCAAAAATATTAAAATAACAGATCACTTTGATTGATGTTATATGGACCCAATTGAAGAAGTGAAATGCTTAAAGGTCCCGTGTCAAGGCCATTTCTACTGATCATATTTCCATTGTTGAGGTCTACTAGAATAGATTTATACTGTGCTGTTTTCCAAACTCACAATGGTTTCTCATACAGCATCTCTGTATAGTATGTGTATTCACTCTCTGTCCTAAACGGCTCGTTGGAGCTCCTGCCCCCCCCTCCCTATGAGCCCAGTGGCCGTCTGCGATACAGCGAAACCCAGCCCAAAACACACACACACCCGCAACCTGGCTGGGAGTTTGTGTGTGTACTCACACAAAAACTCACAGCCCCGCGGAGCTGCAGCTGAGAAAAGATAGAGTGTGTGTGTGTGAGGAAGTTCACAATTGGCCCATGTGGACCAATCCACGGACTTAACTTAACGGCTCCACGGATTGGTCCATTTGGACCAATGGGTCCATTTGGGTATGGGCACGTCACTGTACCCAGGAAGAACAAGAGAAATCTCCAACGAGGCGTTCTGGGGCAGCATAGACAGGTCTTTTCTGTGTTAGAGTTTTACTCGCTACAGGGTGTACTTTGAGGGTTTGTGACTTTGCAGACCGTTTACATGCAGAAAAACCTTCATAACACACAAGGGGATGGGTAATAACCGGAAAAGCATGACATGGGACCTTTAATGTTCATGTTGTTTTGGAACAGGTGGCTCAGATCAATATATTGCACCTTTTAAATAAGAACCAATTGACTTATCCTTTCCTATTAAACTTGCTGATACCTTATAATTTGATAGGCTGAACATTGGACTCACACACATTGTTACAAGTTCATAATCATTCCTCCTTTTCCTCTCTTCTTCTTCTATCTCCAGCCCCACAGACTAGAAGTCCTGGCAGTAGCCGGGCAGCCAGCATGGTGCCACCCCCGTCCCTCTCCAGGGGCTCTAAGACTGCCGGAACCCTGCTTTCTCCCAACAGCACCCTGAACACACCGTGTAATGACAGATCCCAACCTCATCTGAACCTGGACCCCCTGTCTACTGATGAAGATGGAAGCTGCTACACCGAGCTGTACCCCGGCCCCCAGAGCTACGTGGAGAGGCTGCGGGTGGAGGAAGGGTCATTGGGCATTGATCCACTGAGGGCCGAGGACAGGGGCTTTTACTTCTCGCCATCGGTGGAGACGGTATCTTCTTTTAAACCGAACAGGTACCAGTCGCCACTGATGCCTAAGGAGAATAAGCCTTTGGAGGTGGGCATCCTGCGGAGGGTGAAGGAGCTGCTGTCGGAGGTCGACCCCAGGACAGCGGCCAAACATATCACCAAGGCTGACTGCATGGTACTGATGGAAATCAATACTTTAGTTCAACAGTGGCTAACATTGATATTTTAATGTGAAAAGAGTTGAAAGCAGCTGTTTTACATGATGCTCTCAGATAAATCACCAACCAAAAGTGACCTTCATACAGGAGTGTGTACATTTGTCTGTGTTTTCGCAGGTAGCAAGAATTCTGGAGGTGACTCCAGAGGTGCAAAGGATGATGGGAGTTAGTTCAGGGATGGAGTTTCTAACGTTGCCACATGGCCAACAGATGAGGCTGGATCTATTGGAGAGGTGAGTAAGGATTCATAAATCCTGGACCCTTCTTGCTCAAGTCAACCTCATCCAACAAGTACTTGGGTCCAGCAGAGGATACACTATACTATTTTAACAAGTGTAGTAAGAGCCTGTAAACATTCATCAAAAGTCACTTGTACAAAAAATAGTAGCATCTAGTGGGGAGATTTCAGAACTGAACACCCTTTGGGGCACCCTTCCCAAGCATGGCCTTCAGATACATTGGATATGTGAAAGGCCACTACTCTGTGGAAGTCAAGCCCCCAGGAAGTGCGGCAGACGTTGAAGCAAATGTTCGACTTATGTGTCAGCCTGTAACATTATTGTGCCCAAACTTTTTCCAATTGACTTACATTGTTAAACCAACAATTGTATAGCCCTTAAATATATGGCGGAATGGTGGAAGGTACACCACCATTTGCCCAAGAACCATACATTAGCGTTATTTCGACATACTTGTTCTTTATCTTTTAATCTTCTTTAAATGTCACCTATGCAAAATCCACGTTTTCATGTCTCTTCTCTGTGGAAAGAGACTGAAAGTTTCAGGAAAAAAGATTTTCTCTCTTTTTGTTCTGATCCATTTATATAAAAACCTGTCTGAAAATTAGCTGATCAGATTTTGGCCACTTTATGATGTCATAACGATTTTTTGGCTTGTGTAACCATTAGCCAATCACCAACCAAGGTAACCCCCCCCCAACACACACACACCTTATCCCCTGAATCTCCTCCTAGAGCACCATTGTGTTCTTTTTAACCAAATATCTCTCAGAGGGGCGTGGGGAGGGGCTCCTTATTTTCATCTAAAGTAACCGACAGAGAAATCAGCACTTTTGAAACAGGGCTGAAACAGAGAGGATTATGGGATGCTGCAATGATCTGTTTGGTGTTTGGAGCCAAACACTTCAGAGACATGTTTGTATATATCTGAGAACTATAATATATTGATGAAAAACAGTATAATAGGGACCTTTAAAAGTGTACTTCACTGCATTTTGCAGGCAAGTGATGTATTTTTAACACCACCAAATGTATTTAACACTCATAGTGGTATGCTTTTGGGAAATTATGCAGTGCTACTATTTCTACCAATTATCTCAAATTGGCTCAGTATTCGATATTCGATACATTAAGCTAATAATACTTCTGTATCTTTACTTTGCATTCTGGACTTTACTTGTTATAGAGTATTTGAAGACAAAAGGAGTACTTCACCCACCTCTATATTTACCTCCCAAAGCAATTGATGATTTTGTGTCATGCTCCTCCCTGGTGAAATATGGCTGATGTGACCATATTAATGTGATTTTCACTAAATGTTAGGAACTCCCCCTGTCTGCAGGTTGCAAACCATGTCCATCATGTTGGCTGTGGATGTGTTAGGCTGCACAGGGACGACTGAGGAGAGGGCGGGCCTGCTGCATAAAATCATCCAAATAGCAGCTGAGCTCAAGAGCACCGTGGGCAACATGTTTGGCTTCACCGCCGTCATGAGAGCTTTAGAGCTGCCGCAGGTAAACACACATCATATAACCTAGATAGTCACCTGGAAAACAATTCAAGCAATTAGCCATCAGAGGCTGTTGGTTACAGTGATTTACAACAGTTAAAGGTGGGGTATGTAATTCACTTCAGAAACACTTTTTGTTATATTCCATGGAATGCTCTTAACATCCCGATAGCAATGAATATCTTAAATGCTTTGACAATAAATCCATTAAAAAATGTCATCTGTGGAAGCCGTAGTACTGTAAAAAGCACGACCAATCATTTTAGCCGGCCCGGCTAAAATAACTGGATGGCCTACCTGCCTGTCAGCCTTCCATCTGTGCACAAACTTATCTCGTGCCCTCATTGGTCATGTGCGCGTTCGTGTGTGTTGGAGGAGGGGCTCTGTAAGGAAGTGGCAGGTTTTTTCCGGTTGTGTATTTTCAAATTCTAGCACACTCGAGCTGGTTTCTCCAAAATTATCTACCCCACCTTTAAGGGCCGTTGTTAAGCATACAGCGCAGTGGAGTACATATACTTAGCAATATTTCTTAAAGGTGACCTATCATGCAAAATGCACTTTTGTACGTCTTTTATACATGAATATGTGTCCCTGGTGTTCCAGGGAACTCACCAAGTGTCAGAAAACACAACCCTCTCTATTTTCCTCCATACCCAAATCTCTTAAAAAGGGGCTGCAACGGATCTNAACGACTGCAAGCAAAAAGGCCAACACATCGATCGAATGGTACTCGATCTTGGACATCTTGTAAGACTCTGTCCTAAGATGTGCTGCTCCCTTGTTCCTCATCAGAGGAACAAGGGAGCAGCACATCTTAGGACAGAGTCTTACAAGATGTCCAAGATCGAGTACCATTCGATCGATGTGTTGGCCTTTTTGCTTGCAGTCGTTTTTCTATTTTTTGCAGTTTTTATTTATGCAATTAAGGTCTTGTGGCAAATATTTTTTTCCAGAAACAAAGTAAAAAAAGAATGATTAATGTGCTGCAGGATGTTTGTCCGACAATATTTCTTTGTCCTGATTTATTTTTTTTAATTTGGAAAGTCTGTTTTTCAGTGTTTAGTACTAGAAGTCTAAGCTGAATTATGCCAAAGAAGTTATGTTTACCTGATTTTTTCGTTCGATTGTCTGCACAGATTATTTGAAATAATTCTTGCAGGTTTTTTAAAATTATATAAGACTATATTTATAAAAACGTTCATATTTTTTTTTTTTGTCTATCATCTGTGGCTGGGGAATGATTTAATATTCCTCATGAGTTTTAGTAATGATCCAATGTTTTAATGTAAATTGTTCAAATCAATTTATGTTTTCAAAATCATGATTTCAGGCTGTAAATAAAAACCGGCAAAAAAAATGTATTGAATTTCTATTTTACACATATTACAGGTTTGGTCCGATGTATTGCACAGCAAGTGAAATATAACTTTACAAAGGATTAGTTATTGTATATGTACTTTTCCTTACTTACAAGGACTTGTATTTCCACTCTGGAAATATATATATATTGAAATAAATTACATCCTAGCTTCTTCTTCCTCAATGTGGGTGGGACAATTTGACAGGGGATGTGGGGGTCCTCCCCAAGAAAACAGAGTAGATGTCATTTCCTGTATTCTGGTGCATTTTGACAGGTGGTTTTATACTTTTATGTGGCTATACTAGCATGAGGAAAATGATGGGTACATTTTGTAATTTCATCCAGTAGTAAAGAAACATATTTGATTATTAATTCATAGCCGTCTTTAATAAAAAAAACACTCATTATTTATTTAAAATTAGTAGTATTCGACATGGTCAAAGTCGGGGGGTCTAAACTAATCATTTTAAAAGGTGGGGGGGACTTCTCACTCTCATATAATGGCTGCGACGCCCATGCATTATACACAGTCATGTATACACTTGACCATGTATATAAAGTATTCAAATATAATGAATCAAAATGTTAGATAGAAATATATATTGCAAAAAACCACCACAATAAAAACGTTATTAAATGAATACCTTCTCAACAAAGTTTACACAAGAAGCAATTATGTTGTAATCTTTGTCTCATTTAGTATCAAAAATCTTATAATTTGTTAGACTATTCCCTTTTAAAGTTTCTTCTCTGCTTGAAAAAACTAAATAGGGATCAACCTTACAAAATAAGATAAAGATAAGATTCACTTTATTGATCCCAAATTGGGAATGTATTTCTTCACAGCAGCATGTTAAAAGGCATTGCACATCATGTGAAAATAAAAAGAGTAGAACATAAGCAGTGGAAAACTCTCATAGTGAACATATTTGTCTGTGTCAAATTGATCACTACAAGTGGGTGATTATTACAATTGACTTTCTATTCTTAATTTCCAGTACATTTAAAATCAAACTGAAAAAATAATATACAATAATTTATAGCATTGATATGTACAGCTTCGCTCAATCCTGTATTGTCTCTTTGAAAAATCCGTACAGCTGTTTGAAAAGCTTTCACACTACCGTACAATTGAAATTCTGCGCTATGTATTATTCAAATATACCACAATACTGCACAGTACTATATATAAATATAGCTCACTGTATTTGAAAATATACTTTGGCGATAGCCTAAAAAGTATTGTACAAACACAGAAACATCAGTAGAGCTACTAAGACTGGAATTAGTTTTAGTGTGTCTCTTCAAATTTGTCAGGCGTTAAAATCAACTGAAGTTATCAATGACTATAAAAAAAATACGGTATATTTATTTCCAGGTTATCCTGTATTTTCTTCACTGTTCTTTTCTTTTAACACAAGTAAAAGTGTCTTACCAGATGATGATGGAGAGAGTTACGTCACATAAAATAAACAACTTAAACTCATAATTTCTTATGAATTATTTTACGCATAATTAAAATATTAAATAATTAAAATAGTAAATCAACACTTTGGCTCCTAAACTCCAGCCTCTAATTGTTATGGAATCACACATGACAATTATTAATAAACATAAAATGGAAAGCCAATACAAAACATTTGTTTGTTAATAACTATAATTCATATAAAGTCCACTGCACTATAGTGTCCATCTTAGGGGCTGACCCTTTGTGGGTGAATGTGTAATAACAAACACATGAGTCCTGTGTAAATGTGCTTGTGGTGTAAGAGGGGAAGGGGACTAGAGCTCATCATCAGCGATCCAGTTTGAGACCTCCTGAGTAAACTCTTCCAAGGCAGCTGCTTTGGGGTTGTACCATTAATCTTGATACATTTCCACCTCTTTCTCCTCCTCAATGAACATTAAAGCTCAAACAGAATCATTGAACTCTTCCATTTCTTTGCGTAGTTAAATAAATTCTATTTTTGACTTAACCAGTTCCACATTGCAGAAATGTACCATTAATTGTCATATTTCATTTATTTTCCTTGTCAATGCACCCAATTTTGCACTCCTTGATGATTTCAGTTGCTTGAGCCTTTCCATATACACAGAGTCAATGTCACTTTCCAAGCTTGCAATTTTTTTGTTTTTTGTTCAAGACAATACATGTATTCCTTTTGAATTGTACTTAATTGTTTATGGACTTGCATTGTTTTGCTTTCATTTTCATTGCATTTTGTACTGTTTTCCGCGAATTGAGATGTTTCCAACAGCTTTTCCGCCTTTGAACGCTCCACAGCAGTGACGCGTTACATACGTAATTGGAGGAGGAGCGATCGTTGCCTTCAGTCATTCACAACACCGCTGTTCCCGGAAGCAGAAGCCGTAGCCAACGAAGGCGAGTGTTTGGTATACTATTATGAGTTGAGTTCTTGGTTTCAAAGCTGTAGTTACCTACTGTAACTCCAGCTTCTATGAGTAAATGGCGTAGCCCTCTAAGGCTATCGCTATTGGGTAATCCCCCTGCGCCCCCGCGCAGCACTGAAACACTTGTAGTCCACGCCCACCAGCAAGGTGGGCCCCACCCTCGGGCTTCCTTCCGGTATAAATAGGAAGGAGGCCGACAATCTGCTCCCATACAAAATCACTTTTCTTCAGCTATTCGTAGAGCCAGTGGGGCCCAGCACTTAGAGGGCTACGCCATTTACTTCTTGGTTTCAAAGCTGGAGTTACCGTAGGTAACTACAGTTCTATTTCGTATATGGCTTCGCCCTCTAAGGCTATCGCTATTGGGTTAAGGGCGAAGCATGATGTAGTCTGCGCCCCACTGGGTCCGCCCGGCACTAAAAGCACAGAAACACCTGCTCAATAACACCCCATGCCTGTTGTGCCATGCGTAATGGCGCATCACCGTCCCTGGAATATAGCATAACATGAATATTTTCCATGAGGGGACGAAGGCTGGGAACAATACATACCT